TGTTTTCAAAGCTCCATGGGCATGCCAATTGCATGTTCCATTTGAGTTAGCATTTATCTAGCAGCTTCTATGAGCTGTCTAGATGAACTTGGGTCACAACTGCCCTTAAGAATCTAATTGAGGGGGTCAAGATCTCCTGTAGACAATTTTAAGTAGGGTCATATTTCCCAATAATTTTTGAAAGTTATTTAAAGTTTTTAAGTAGCCTTTCTAATCCAAGTTGTAAAGTTTTCATTATCTGACATGGTCTTATTTGCATTTTCACAGACCTTCTTAGGTGAAGCTGAGCAACAGCTTCCTGAGGCTGTCTCATGAACATTTTTCAAATCTTGTATTAACCTCCATTCTTTAGATTTCTTTTATAACTACAAAAATAGGAGCATTTCAGTATCCTCTCCTCTATTAAAGGCTGTTAAACCATCCATACAGGATCCTTGGGCTCTCAGGTCACGTTGGCTTTGGCCATTTCCCTACTACCAGAAGTACACCAGCGGTGTCTATTCTTTTTTTTTTTTTTATGAGACAGGGTTTCTTTATATTGTTTCGGAACCTATCGGTCCAGCCCAGCCTAGAAATCACAGAGATCCGCCTGCCTCTGCCTCCCAAGTGCTGGGATTAAAGGTGTGCGCCACCACCACCCGGCCAGAGGTGTCTATTCTTCTGTGATGTTCATCAATTTGTCTCCCATGCTCAGGTCCATGTTGTGGCGCCATATGTGGTCACCCTCTCTAGTAGGCCCACATTGGTGCGCCAATCATTAGCTATGAGAGAAACATAAATGAAAACCACAATGAGCTACTATCTCACCCCAACTAGAACAACTCTTACCTCAAAAGCTGATGAATTGTTAGGAAGAAAATGGAGAAAAGAAAACTCACCACCATTTGGTAGGAAAGTTAATTAAAACAGTTATTAAGTGAGTAAGATGGAGGTTCTTTAAAAAAACTAAAAATAAGTCTATCATACAACTCAACTATTTTTCTTCTTCTAGATTTATGGTTCTCAACACTCCTAATGATGTGACCCTTTAATGAAGTTCCTCATGTTGTAGTAACCTCCAATCATAAAATTCTTTTTGTTGCTACTTCATAGCTAATTTTACTACTGTTATGAATCTTAATGTAAATATCTGATATGCAACCCCCAAAAGGGTTGCAACCCACAGGTTTAGAGCCACTGTTCTAGATGTAAACTCAAATAATGTAAAGTCATATCAAAGAAAGCATGTCCTATGTTTATTTTTAAACAATTCATGATTTGCTAAGATGTAAATCAACCTAGATGCCCATCAAAAATATAAGCAAATGTGACAAAATATACATACAATGTAATATTACTTACCCATTAAAAGAATTGTATCCTATCATCAGCAACATTATTAATGGAATAGGAGAATATTATGTCAAGTAAAATAGCCTAGACATAGAAAGACCAACACTTTATAGTCTCCCTCACATATGAATGATAAACAAATCAGTCTGAATGTGGGACCATGATTATTAAAAGATATGGTGGTAGGAGAGAAGGTAGAGGGAGGGTGGATAATGAGTTAAGAGGGAGGAGGAGGAAGGAAGCTTGGAAGATGACTCAGTGGTTTAGAACCTTTGTTCTTACAGAGGACTTGGGTTCAACTCCCAGCACCCATATGGTGGCTTACAACCATTTATAATTCCAGTTCCAAGGGATACAAAACCCTCTGTAGGCCACAGGCACACATATGATACACATACATTCATGCAGGAAACACACACAATAAAATAATAAATCTTTTTAAAAATAATACAAGAGAAAAATAAGTTCTAGCGTTCTACAGCAGAGCTGCCAAAGCAGAGCACTGGTCCACAGTGACCTAGTATGCATCCCATGGGTGATGGTGGGGTATAGAACAGGTTGTAAACACAAGTATTAAGAAGGAAACATTAAATACTCTGATTTGATCAATACATACTGCTTTTGTCTGTGTGGTATAAATACCACTATGTCCTTGTGGGTGTGATTCACATGTCCCCAATGACTAGATATTCAGCACCTCCTCACACACAGACAAGATTTATGTCTTCTTTGTTTGGGGTGAAAAATTGTCTATCTTAAAAGGTTATGTGGACCAGGCCATGATGGTGCACACCTTTAATCCCAGCACTCAGGTTGGCAGAGATAGGTGGATCTCTGCGAGTTCAAGGCCAGCCGTGTCTAGAGAGTGAATTCCAGGACAGCTAGAGCTACACAGAGAAACCCTGTCTCAAACAAACAAACAAACAAACAAAATGGTTATATGGCTTTTTACTATTGAGCTGTAGAAATTCTTTATGCCTTAGAGATACAAACTGTTTCTCAGATATATGTTATGCAAATGTTTTCTTCTGGTTCTATAGACTGCCTTACCTGTGGTTTTTCCCTTGCCCATGCAGTATTTTTGTCTAAGGTAGTGTGGCTTGTCTGATTTTGCTCTTCATGTAGTACCTCTCTGTTCCTTCCCTAGTTGTTTTCTGTAAGCCCTGTCTCCCACTTGGGTTGCTGTGTAGAACTCCCCAAATGAGGGTGAGTAGTAGTGGCCATTAGGTATCACAGGTGTTGTCTAACATTCTGTTGACTTTGAGGCTAAAATATTTAAACTTCATTACTTTAAGAAGTCAACTCTAAATCAGATTTCCAATACCACCCACTGGGAAACTGAGGCAGGAGAATTGTTAGCCTGTGTTACCCTGGGCCACCTAGCAAGAATTTGTCTTTTTTGAAAAAGTAACTTTATATAAGCCCCTCCCCCATAGTGTCTGGTGTTTTTAATACACACACACACACACACACACACACACACACAATGCCAAATGTGTCTTCTGCACACATGCAGGTGACTCTGAATGATTGTGGGAAGAGTCCTGTTAGAACAACTGGCAAAAGATAAGTTGCATTACTTTTCAAATGTTACTGCAATCTGCCAGATACTTTATTAAAAACTTCTATTTGTTTGCCATCAAATTAGATGGGCTCAGTTTGCCTTTTCTTAACTGCATTTTTGTCAGTTTAGGTTTAATGAATTCATTTTGGTCACATAAAAAGAATTATGGGGCTCTCTTCATTTGATAGTCTCTGTAATTGGCCAGATCACATGGGATTCTCTAATCTTACTATTCTTTAAAAGCTTCATAATGTAGATAGTGGATTTTGATCGTATCTTCCAACCTACTACCTACCTCCAACTGCCACCAAGATTCCCCAAGGGCTGTCCCTCTCACCTGCATGTCCTCTTAGTTTTTAATTAATAAATGATTAAGTCCAATTAGTGCTGTCCATAAACATATGTAGGACCATCCCCTAGGACATGAGCATACCATATACCTCCAGTGTGACCCTCTGTCCCTAGGTGGCCAACAACTGTCAAAGCTCCTCAGATGAGGGTAGGACTTCAGAGCCAGTCCTCCCACAATGCTGGAAATTTTAGTGGTCTGGTCTGTGCAGGTCATCTCATGCCAGAAGATGCCATTTCGTAGCTCTCTTGCCCGTCATCCAGCGTTTACATTCTTCATGTCCACTCTCCTTCAATGTCCCCAAGCTTTGAGTTGGGGGAAGTTGATGTGGATGACACCTCTACAGCTGACCACTCAGACTTACATATTCTCAGCATTTTGACCGATTATGACCCTCTGCCACTACAAGAATAAATATGTTTGGCTGTGTCTAAGAGCACTCTCTAACCTCCATATATACACATGCAGGCAAGCACATACAGCAAACCTGCATGTGTACATGTACACATGCACACACACAATGAAATCTCATGTGTGGTTCAACATGAACCCAAATGTGCTAAGTTAAGAAACAAGACAAAAAAGGGCTCCATAGTATTCCAATTGTAGAATAGGCAAATGCATAAATCAGAAAGATTGTTTAATAAGGGATGGGGGAGTAGAGGAGGAAATTACTTCTAATGAGTGTCTTTTGGGGGAGACAGACATGTTTTGGGATTAGAAAATGAATTTAATTTAATTTAATGAACACGCCAAAAGGCATTGACTTGCTCACTTTAATGTGAGTGAATTACATCTCAATGTTTTTAAAAAGACAAAGAAAAGGAAGCCTTATAGAGAACAATGTTGAAATGGCCTGTGAATGGAACTCAGATCTCTGTGCCACCAGGGTCAGGCAGCTTATTGACAACACTGAATTTGGGCAAACACAAAGGGAGGTATCATGCACCTACCCCTGGTGTTGGTGTAATCTGGAGTATGCTTTGGAGTAATAATTTAATAATATCTATCAAAAATAAAGCATACCCTAGGATTCAGGGTTTTCAATTGTAGAGATCTAAACTCTATGTGAGTCTGGCCCAGTTAGCACTCAGTGAGTGTTCTTTACTATTACAAAGGTGATAATCATGGGAAGAGATAATATATTATTCACTAGAACTCCTGCAGCCAAATTCAGCTCTCACTTCTGCTGTCTTTTGGAAATCTAATGAGGCATTGCAACTGTTCTAGGATGGTGTGGCCATGAAACCTCTGCTCCTTTCATCTTTGCAAGCTGCACCAAGAGGAAAGCAAAATTCTTCCCCAATATATAGGGCCCTGTTTCTGGGGCTACTGAGTACATGCTGGAAGAGTAGCTGAAGATTATGTACCTTAGCCTCTTGATAAATGGATACAGTGGAATGGGGTGGGGTGGAGTGGGGTGGGGTGGGGCAGGGGTACAGAAGAGAGGGAACAAAACCTGAGTCCCAAACCTGAGTGATTTAAGCATAATAATGCCTCATGAACATGAGCAGGGACCACTGAAAGAAGGGAACGCCTGAGTGACCTGTGTCTCTGTCCCTTCAGTTCCTCTCCTTACAGTGACTGTGACACTGCCATTATTTGTAAATATTGTGCTTTGCTTGTCAAATAGTTCTGTTGATGGAAGATGAAAACCATGTCAGTCTGGATTTCTAATTAGTCAGACCCTGGTCTTTCAGTCATTAAAGATAAATCCTGAAGGCAACTCACCCAAAAATCAGGAAAAGCACCTACCAAGGAAAGGCCACACTTGAAATCCATGTGAGAGCTTGAAAGGTGACAAATGACAGCTCACATATCCAAGAGGTCATGGTGCCACCATTCCTGTGGAGTTGGTCGCATGGAAAACACCCAGTATGCATTCACATACTGGATACTGCCTCTGGGTGTCCTCCTCTTACCTAGCATGTTAAGGCATGGTGGGGGCCAGGGATTATGACATAAGCAAATGTCCACAGGCTGAAATAGGTAAGTCCAGCTCAGAAGCTTCCTAGGAGAGACATCACCTGCAACGGCCTCCTAAACTGGCCAACTTCCTGCCACAACTCCCAAACTGCCAGCCTCACTAGAGGTGGCAAGGATTCCTCTGAGGGAGAAGTGACCTCAGGAATCTGGTAGAGGAAGTTGTCAAAACTCTAGAGGCCTAGTACCAAGGATCTAAGAGCCATGGAGACGGCTATGTGTGTTTGTTCTCCGTGCTGCACCTGGCAGAGATGCTGCCCTCGGCTCTTCTCCTGTTTGTGCTGCAAATTCATCTTCACCTCCGAGCGGAACTGCACCTGCTTCCCCTGTCCCTACAAGGATGAACGGAACTGCCAATTCTGCCACTGCACCTGTGCAGAGAACCCCAATTGCCACTGGTGCTGCTGCTCCTGGGCCAATGACCCCAACTGTAAATGCTGCTGCACAACCAACACCAACATGAAATGCTACTACTATGAGAGCCGCTGCTGCCGCAATGCCATCGTCACGTTCAGAAGGGGTCGCCTTCGTACCATCCGCATCTCGTAAGTGCTGGCCATCCATCCTGTAGTTACACTGGAAAAAAAACAAAAACAGGGAACTCATGCTATCTGTAGGTCTGTAGGGACCCCAGAACAAGCTGGTGTTTCCTAGAGTGCACTCTATGTGGGAGGAAAACATCAATGGTAATTTTTTTAGCAGTTACATGCATAGTAAACATCCACTGGTGGTATAGTGAATTCATGCTGCACCCTTTGACCCCAAAGGCTCTCATCTTGCAAACATGTGATAGGTTATACTTACTGTTTATGTAACTGCTTATGTAACCATTCCTCTGCCTCGTTCTGTGCCCACTGGACCCAGGAGGATGTAGAGCTGGGAGATACTAAGTCATCCAAAACCACACAGCAGGGAAGGGGTAGAGTCATGACTTGAATCCAGAGCTGGGCCAATGGTCCTAATTTAAAAAAAAATCCATATTACAAAATGGAGACCATGATATAGTGTGTGTTCTGTAGCCTGTTATATGATACAAAAAGAAAATACCAACTGTTCTTCATCACCCTCCTATGTACCACAACATTTACCTGAGAAGTAAGAACTTGAAGGTACCACTTTTGACCCTAATAACCTACAGAGGTACTCTGAACTGCTGGCCACTCCTTCTTTCCCATCCAAAGTCCTGACACTCAGGTTCTCAGCCACTTGGTAAGGTAGCAAGCCCAACATGTAGCACACTCCCTTAAGAGTCCAGGCTGAGAGAGCATCCCTTTTTGTGTTATGGGCACACGAAGTCTGTTTGTATTGAAGGCTGGATCTTCTCTCTCTCTCTCTCTCTCTCTCTCTCTCTCTCTCTCTCTCTCTCTCTCTCTCTCTCTCTCTCTCTCTTTCTGATCTCTTATCCTCTCTCCATTTAGTATATACTGATTCTGAATCTAACATTTTTATCAAAGAAGTCCATGCAGCTACCACATGCACAATTGACTTGTAACTCCAGGTGACCCTTCCAGGAACAAGCAGGAGGCTAGGAAGTCAAAGGAAACAGTGAGACTGCGAGCCTGGATCTCAGCATCCAAGCCCTCAGGAATGAGTCGACTGTCTAGATGCCTAAGGATATACGGGGACATCTGTGACTCAGGGCCACCCTAGGACAATATTCTTGGGAAGTACCTTTGACTGCCAGTGCTCTGAGACACAGGTTCCTTGGCCAAGAAAGAGGAGAAGGAGACAAAGGGAAATCAGAAAGACTAGGGCAGAAGAGAACACAGGCTAACACCAAGACCAGTATCTTACTATGAACAGGGAAATGGTAGGAATAGCTACAATGTATGCATCAGCTGGCATCTCTGTTCCCACAGCCAAGAGCTTACTTCCCTAACTGTTCTTACACTGACTGCAGCTTGTCAAGCATGCACTTGAATTCCACAAGCACAGCCTCCCACCATTAGTAGATCTCAGCATTGAATACATGAAGCTGACCTCAGATATTAAACAAATAAAGACCCATAACTCACAACAGTAGATACATATGTGAGCGTTCCCGGCTTGAATACCATTTCCTCCTATTGTGGTTTCCTCCTCTCCTCTCCTCTCCTGTGGATATTAGCTGGTGAACAGCACAGGAGAGTGATTATAGGGACCATATTACCACTTACGATGGATTATCTCATGCACACTTTATAAACTCCCAAGGAAGTGCTATAATCTTTGATTTACAGTGGGGGAACTGAGCACAAAAGAGATTTAAAAACTCTCTAAACCAGCAACTCTGAAAGTTCCATGCCCCGTCACGTGTTAGTTTCCAGGGGCAGACCCTTGTGTGTTATTGATGGTCCTTAAGTCAGCTCTCGGGTTCTCAGCTCAGCTCAAAGATTGTCTCATCTTAGTAAGGCCATTTACTACCTCCCTTTGTCCCATCCCGAATGCAACAGTAATGGTAATGTCACTGCCTTACAGGCACAGGCACCAAAAGTGTGCCTGTCACTGGGCAGGACTGGATTTGTTGATTCATTATGTCAAGGGGGAACATGTCCCATTCCACGCCAGGGTGAGATACCTGGGTAAGAAGCCACCATAGGCCCTAACAGGACTAGGGCTCATGTTAACAAGAATAGAGTCAATCTGTTGGTTCTCTTACTCTTGTCTAGAAGGCGGCTAGAATGTATGGAACCCGAATCTGCTTCTGGAAAGAGAAAGAGCAGGCTTAATCACTCACATTCCCCCTGCACAGGAGGGTGGGAGGTCACGTTTGTGGTTTGGACAATGTTCTGGTCTGAGTTCCAGAGACCTGCAGTGGTATCACTTCTGCCATGATCCATCAAAGTCACTGAGGCCCTATCTCCTGCCGATGTTCTGTGGTGGTTACTAACATGCGGTGGAACACCCAGGGCCAGCTGACCACACCAAACCGCTACTGATCTGCTGCTTTTCTTTCCCTCAAAATTAAAATGAGCAGGAGGGCACTGCAGGCCTCTGGCTGATCCCAGGGGCTGTACTCGGTCCAAACAGGCATTAAATTCAGTCTTAATCATCTTTAAAAATGCTATGGTTTGGGTACCAGCAGCAGGTATTAAATGCCTTACTGTGTTTATTTTCTAAGAGAGTGGAGGCAAGTCAAGAAGCCAGGAACCAAGCAGGAGCCATTTCATCACCATTCCAGTGGACCACCTCTCTGGATAGATCCTTCTGGAATTCTTGGGTGTGTTCCTGAAGCCTGTGCTTGCTTTTCCTTTCAGGTCCAAGACCGCCCTCCGCATAGGGAGCAGCGAAACCCAGCTGGAGGAGCCCAAGTCCATGCCCGCCAGCAGCAACTTGCTGAGCCATCTCACCTGCCCCATGTGCAACCGGCTGCGCCTGCACTCCTTCATGCTGCCATGCAACCACAGCCTGTGCGAGAAGTGCCTGCGGCAGCTGCAAAAGCATGCCGAAGTCACTGAGAATTTCTTCATCCTCATCTGCCCCATGTGCAGCCGCTCGCACTGCATGCCCTACAGCCACCAGATGCACCTTCCGGAAAACTATCTGCGCGGGCGCCTCACCAAACGCTACATGCAGCAGCATGGCTACCTCAAGTGGCGCTTCGACCGATCCTCGGGGCCCATCCTCTGCCAAGTGTGCCGGAGTCGTCGCATTGCCTACAAGCGCTGTGTCACCTGCCGCCTCAACCTGTGCAACGACTGCCTCAAAGCCTTCCACTCGGATGTGGCCATGCAGGACCATGTCTTCGTGGATACCAGCGCCGAGGACCAGGACGAGAAGATTTGCATCCACCACCCGTCCAGCCGCATCAACGAGTACTGCCGCAGCGACAACCAGCTGCTCTGCGCCTTCTGCAAGACCGCTTTCCACAACGGTCATGACACGGTCAGCCTCATAGATGCCTGTTCCGAGAGGTCTGCAGCCCTCTTCAGCGCCATCGCCAAGTTCAAAGCAGGTCCTGGTCGGTTTCCCACTCCCCTTCAGGGTAACTCCCAGCTACAGAAGAGACCAGAAGTTTGTGTGTGGCACATGTTAGGAGCCTTACTCCACCTGGTGGAAAAATCCAGACACTGGGAGACCCTGACATGGCCGGAATGTCACTGTCATGGCGTCCATGACAACTACCACCAGCCATTTAGTGTCACGAAGTCACTGTGTCTTTGTGACTCAGTGTTTTCATCTATAAAATAGTAAGGATAATGGTAACTCCCTCACTGGATTTTGTGAGTAGAACTAGTCTTATGAAGCAGGTTCTCACCCCTCTTCCATCCCTGGGATGGGGTGCAGGAACACGCTCTGGTGTGTAATAAGCACATAAAACTCTTCTAAGTTTTGTCACAATCTTCCTGAACTTTGGCTTCATTACCCAAAGGGGGAAAAGTGAGTTTTCTCTAGTCACAGCCTGAAGCTCTGTTTGGTACTGAACATGGAGGTCATTGTTATCTCCTACTTCCCGATTTCCAGGGGGGATAACTAATCTAACCCTGAGTCATCTCTATTGAAGGTATCTCCTATGAACTTTCTGTCAAAGGTGTAGACAAGGAATTCAGAGAGCTGCTAATGGATAAATAGTAACAGGAAAATCCCAAAACAGCCAATAATGCTCTGCCCAGCCTCTGTTTTCCTTCTGTCTGCAAGTTCACAGTTGTTTATAGCAGCTGTATAATACAATTTCTATAAAAGAACCAACCCTGGTTTTTATACCAAAGCCAAGTACAATAATACTTCATAAACTTCAGTAAAGGGTTCATAATTTCTGATGTGTCTCCATCGGGTCAGACATGTCTTTGTCCCCACTGAGATCTAGAAATCCACTTAGGGAAATGGCACCTTCTATAGGGGATTATGTAAGCCTCTGCCATCTGTTCATTTTTTGTTTGTTTGTTTGTTTTTGAGACAGGGTTTCTCTGTGTATCAGCTCTGGCTGTCCAGGAACTCACTTTGTTGATCAGGCAATTTTCTATTGCTGTGATAAAACACCATGACCAAAAACAACTTGGGGAGGATAGGGTTTATTTTATCCTACATGTCCTCATCAAAATCTATCATAGGAGGAAGTCATGGCAAGAACT